AGCTGAAAAATCTCATGTTGTGATAGATTTTTGAGATGCTCAAAGGCAGTCTTCATACTTTGGTCTATAGCTTTGGTCAATAGTTTTTGGGCCCCGCCTGCTTGGGGCCCCCGGGTCACCAGGGGGCCCAATCAGTTAGTTCCCTGTTAATAGTAGTTCCACATCAACTGTGATAAAACTGATAATATAAAGAATTTATTAAAAAATGTCTGACTTTGAGGTACCTTTATATCCTCTATACTAATTTTTTTTTTTTTGATTTTTTCTTATTTTGTTTTGGGGCTTGTGAGATGTTGGTGATCAAATGCTTCTATAATCTAATGGTCAAAAATGACCTTAAATACAATCTTTGTGCCCTAGTGGTGTACAGGCCACATCAAGCCCATCAATTTTTCTATGATGTACACTCTTTAGGAAATTCAAAGAATCTCAAGTTGGAAAAAAGATAATTTAATGTCCTTTTTTTTCTATAACTGAACATAATATTGGGTCACTTTTGACCGGGAAGACAACACAAGCTGGCCCAGAGTAGCTAATCAGCAGGACCTGGACAATTCCTGGTGGGGTGCTCTTATTTTTGGGCCACAAGGACTATAGAGTTTTTTGTTTTTATGCCAGTGTTCAGCCATGACTGGATCACTTGTGCTGCTACCACAATCCCTTGGCTGCGTCGGCCTACACTGGCTGCTTTTTTTTATTTTTTATGTGCACCCTGAAGTAAACCGTCGGTGCACTTAGTAATAAAATGCTGTCTGAAAAATGAAAATAGGAAAGCTCTGGAAACAGACGCCACTTAATGTACAAAAACTGGCAGCTTGTTTAATAAAAAATAAGAAAAATAAGGCAGTGCCCTAAGGAAGCCGCCTCATGGCAGGGCACCTGGCAGCCAAAATAATGTGCCTAATGGCAGTGTTCTTTGGCCTCAGTCAGTCATTTCCCTGTACATCCATGAAACCATGGGGCTGAAAATGAGACCAGATGCATTCAAAGCACGACAGGTGAATTGTTCATGAATCACTGTCAGCGTCTTGATTTGTTTGCGATTCCACATTGCGTGCAGCAGCCACCACAGCCTCCTAGACACTGTTCAGAGAGCTGGACTGTTTTCCCTCCCTGTAGATCTCATATTTAATGAAGGACCACAGGTTCTCAATGGGGTTCAGATCAGGTGAACAAGGGGCCCATGTCATTATTTTTTCTCCTTTTAGACTTTTTCTGGCCAGCCAAGCTGTGTTGTATTTTGATCCGTGTGACGGAGCATTGTCCTGCATGAATATAATGTTTTTCGTGAATGATGGCGACTTCTTCTTGTACCACTGTTTGAAGAAGGTGTCTTCCAGAAACTGGCAGTGGGTCTGGGAGTTGATCTTGACTCCATCATCAATCCCAAAAAGGTCCCACAAGCTCATCTTTGATGATACCAGCCCATACCATTACCCCACCTCCACCTTGCTGGCGTCTGAGTGGATAACGAACTTGCTGCCCTTTACTGATCTAGCCTGGTGTCCATCCATCTGGCCCATCAAGACTCACTCTCATTTCATGAGACCAAAACACCTTGGAGAAATCAGTCTTCAGATATTTCTTGGCCTAATCTTGACGTTTTGTCTTTTGTGTCTTGTTCAAAGGTGGCCTTTTTTCGGCTTTCCTTACCTTGGCCAGGTCCCTGAATATTGAGGACCTTGTGCTTCTCGGCACTCCAGACATGTTGCAGCTCTGAAATATTCCACAACTGGTGGCTAATGGCTTCCTGGCAGCTTCATGATTGATCCTTCTTAATTGATGGGGAGTTATTTTGCATCTTCTTTTTTCAACACGCTTCCTGCACCCCTGTTGGCTATTTGCCAAGAACCACTTGATTGTGCGATGATCCCGCTTCAAAAGCTTGGCAATTTCAAAACTGCTGCACCCCTCTTAAAAAGCATCTGATAATTTTTTACTTTTCAGAGTCTGTCAAATCTCTTTTCTGACCCTTTTTGCCAAAGGAGAGGTAGTTGCCTAAGATTTAAGTACACCTTATAGAGGGTGTAGATGTCATTAGGCCACACCCCTTCTCATTACAGAGATGCACACTACCTGATTTACCTAATTGGTAGTCTGTTTTCAAGCCTATACAGCTTGGAGTAGGACAACATGTATGAAAAGGATGATGCGGTCGAAATACTCATTTGACTAATAATTCTGCACACAGTGTATGGATGGAAGGCTTTTGAGCATCACGGTGATGAAAGGTGGCTATATTGGTCACTGATTTTTTTGTTTTTGTTTTGTTTTTGATTGTCGCAAAGGTTTTTTTCTGAATTTTGAGTTGTTATATTGGTTTACTTGGTAAAAATAAACAAGTGATATGGGTATGTGAGTATATTCGTATATTTACCTGCACACACAGACATCCTCATCAAATGACCAAATCTAGAGAAAACCCCATCAAGCAGCAGAAACAATTTGCTTCTTATTTTAAAATGATGCTCAGTTAGATTTAATAATGTGATAAACTCTGGACACGTTGTTTCATTGTGTTTAATCAGCCTCAGAAATAAAACCCAAAAAACTATCAAGTAATTCTCCAAAATGGTCTTCATTTAAATCTCACTACAGTCTGTAATTCTCAGATTTGTCCTCAAGAGGTCAGCATGACACTGAAGGGCCGATTTTCTTTGAAACATGATGAGTGTTGGGTCAGGGTGACCCACCCTGTC